AACTATGTCTAGGTGATTAAGTTAACATAAATTACTTACTCATATATCTGGGAATTGAGTTTACAATTTTATACAAACACAACTATGTCTAGGTGATTAAGTTAACATAAATTACTTACTCATATATCTGGGAATTGAGTTTACAATTTTATACAAACACAATTATGTCTAGGCAGTTAAGCACATAGATACTTTAGGTGCATCTTCACTGTACTTTGAGACAATAAACTTAGCGTCATGTGTCACTTCACTTGTTAGAGGTGTAAGAGAATAAGATTATCATTGGTGCATAATTAGTCATTATTTTGTACACAACAGTATTCTAGTGCAAACTGAGCCAACAAGGTATCATTTTGAATTGGCAAAATGCTGATTTGACACATCTTTATCCTCATTACATGTTTATTTATCATTTCACATTATGAAGGCTATATTGCAGTCACAGCATATTTATACATGAGACTTGGTTTTACCTTTCCATTACCTGACCATTACTAAGGCTGAAAGAGTGAGCATGTTTACTGATAGGTTTTGATTCTGCAACCTATAGATTGCAAATTGAGCACCCTTACCACTGGGCCATGTCAGACCAAAACTAGAATAAATGTTTATGTAGATAATGTATTGTTATTGAGTTAAAAGCATTGTTTACCTCTTTATGCTAGCTGCTGTAAAAAGTGTTATTTTAATGATTGTGGTATGATGCTCAGGGCTCAGGCTTAACTTTTTTTTAGGGAGCCAACTAGGCCCCCAAAATATGCATTTTTAGAGGCCATTCCTATAGCTCATTGTAAAATGTACTCTATAGTGGAGATTATCTGAAAAATCACTGAATTAAGTAACAGATTTTGTATATGTTGAAAGGAAACTAAAGATATCAACATATCTCAATTTATCTTGTTGTAAACTCATACTTCATGAACAAAAACACAAGTAAAACCGTTTCATTTTTTTCAGACCACTTAAATGATTTTTATTTCATATATGATCTTTAATGGTATAATAGTAACTTTTTGTTCCCCTTTAAAGTAGTGTTCTTTTAATTATCACAATAATGAAAGGATAACTTTGATTTACTGTCAGTGTAATCTATTCTAGTTGACACATATTTTTAGTAAAATGTCAAACACTTTTGATGGAGAGATGGAAAAATTGTACAATTTACATTGCCACTAACTTTATAACAATCACTTCTTTATCAATTTTTTCATATCCTAAAACAGCTGTTAATTAGTCAAATTAGCAACATATGGAAAACATACAGATAGCTCTGAAATAGTTTAGGTTGTGATGAGTTAAACTTAAATTAGTGTCATTTCCTTATCAAAATAAACAATGAAAGAATTTATTTTGGGGATCATCTGCATTTTGTAGATATTGCCACATTTTTTGTTGCAAAAGGACTTTGTACTAATGAATTAGATTCTACCCATGACAGACCGGTGTTGCCAAAAGATATTCAGAGTCACAGAGAACACTGCATAAA